CACAGCACAAGCACATTTTGCTCCTGGCGTTTTTGAATGTGGCTTCCCTGACAATGGCGCCAACCTGGATTCTGCAGTCCTGCGCTAACCACTGCCTGTTGTGGCGAAGCTGTAATGTTAACCAACCGATTTCAAACCATTACTGACACAGAAACATGTATTTAGAGATTTTGTGCCAACTAAGAAACCACACAGTTTTCAGTCATGTGTACAGGATACCCTATATGGAATGCTAAATACTCAAAACCACACTGGTTTTTGGGGTTACCTTTCTTGATTGCTCATTTTGGCATACATGGCTCTCACCAATTCCGGACTTTTCAGAAAATGGTCTGTAATAATCAAGAACCTAAGGAAAAAAGGAGAAAGAAGTTTGGTTACTAGAAACATAGTCAAACAGACATGGCCTTATCAACTTTATAGGCGTATCTTACACATAAAAGCACTCCTTTTCATTGAATTCTTGATTAGCCGTAATCTTAAGATGTTTTAAGAGGTTCACATATTCAATATTTTCTATTAGCAGCTAGAGGAAAATTAAAGCTCTCACAATATTTCTCTCCAATCTTATTTCTGAAACATTTACTGAAATGATTCCGCTTTAGCCAGCTGGAAGAAGGGCTGCTATCGCATTCGGCAAAGCTGGGAAAGGAAAAACACTCCACTGGAGTCTGAACAGCAGAATGGAATTTAGCTGCAAGCTCAGGAATAAACAGAAACACTTTCACTGGTTTAGGCAGAAACTGGTGTGAACATGACCCAAGAAAGAGAACATCCTACTGTTTTTCATGGGAACATATGCCAACCACAGAGCAGGGAACACTGGCTGGATTATCTCCCCTGTAAAGCTCTCACGTTACCAAGAAAACATCCTCACTGTCAGGCAGCGCAGCATCCAAACTTAGAGATCAATTGCGCGAACCCCCAGGCACAGATTATGAGCATTTTCTTCAAAGTGCCCTGTGACAGCCAGAAGATTGAACGGCTTATTAATGAGTTCTGCATCTATTTACCAGAGGGCATCTGAAGACTTAAAGCTAAAGAACACGCTGTTCATTCCAAGTTTAGAGTAATCGAAGTGGCTATTAAAAAGCCAATATATGTACAGTCATAGCTTATTTAATTACTTCTTAACAAATGAAAGTATGGCTTTCAGAATGATAACAGGATGAAGCACATTAGCTACCACAATGCTGTCACTTCACATAAAAACAAAACCTAAACCCCTCCTCCACTTCCTCCACATCCACACACAGCAATGGCGATGGAATGCTCTTCTAGTGACTCGAAAATGGTCATTTAAGTGGCTATCAGTTATGCAGAGGTTTTCATGTGGTAGATGCTTAGATTATTTTTCTAAATATAATACATACAGTCTCCACTCCAGGGTGCTGCATAAATTCTCAATTTTTAGTAAAAATTCACTGCATTTACTTTCTTACCAAATATCGACTCGAGAAACCACAGGTGAAAACTTTCACAACAAAGAGACCCAATCACACTCCATATTTGCTAAGTTACACACTTTAATTTGTGATTAATTTTTTTGCAGAACTATTTCTGTCAACTCAGAAATTCGGTGGTAATTCTGTAAGAGGGAGGCAGGGTCCCACTAATCTACAACCCAAAATGTGCAAGGACATCTAGAGACGGTCAGAACACTCCAGGAGCTCTCCAAGTCTATGGAGAGTGGGACAGACTGCCCGGGGGGAGGGTCAAAAACACATCCTATCCAAGAGGCAGAAGTCGGAGCGGAAGGGGCACAGAGAAGTACATCTTTCTTTCACAGAAAGAAAAAGCTAGAAATGGGATCCTGTCCGCGCTCCCCTCAGTTCCGCTGCAGGCGCTTTTGGGGGCCTGGTTTCCCTCCCACCAATTACTCTCAGCCTCTGGGGCCAGAGTGGACCTGCCCCAGGCAGTTGGAGGCAGAGCTCAGTTTAATAGGGAAATTCCTCACTTAAATGTAATTACAGAACAGCCAGTGTTCACAAAGCAAGTTGCTGATGGTAAAGCACTGACCACAATTTTACAAGTTTCCACACTGGCTAAGAGCCCACGTGCATGCAGTCCCTCTTCTCTTCTCTTCTCTCTTCTCCTCTCCTCTCCTCCCCACCCTCCCCTCATATCTCTCTCTCTCTCTCTCTCTCTCTCTCTCTCTCATTGGTTTGGAAGAGATTAACAAAGAGATTAACATGATCTGCATCCCCGTGTCGCTACCACCAGGCAGAAGGTGGTAAACGCCATCTGCCCCTCAGGGAGCACAGGGAAAGGGCCATGAACAGTGACTATGTCACTGGGAAAGCAGGTAACCCTAAAGTCAGCGTTGGAGGGAAATTTTCTAAAAGTGAGAGCCACTTATCGCCATTTCCATACACAAGTCTACAATGTCAAAGCTTATTTGTAACATAAATAAAATCTATTTCATTGACTGCAAACACCTAGAAAATGTTTCATAGCTCACTGGTTGAATAAAGAATGTGATTTAAACACGCTCTTGAAAATGAATGCCACCCTCCTGTTTGCTGTGAGATCTGGGAACCCCGCCCACAGCGGCTAATACGGCGACCTGGGCAAAGCTGCCCGCGCTGCACAGCCAACAGCCTCCTGCCCCCGTCGGGGACATTTCCGGCTACAGGAAGCACCAGGCACACAGCCATCCACCAGCCCGACGACCCCAAGGCCATGCTCCACTGCCAAGCCGTGAGCTACCATCTCTGAGAAAGCCTGACACCAGCTGGATCCCGAGTGCTGCCCGGGCAAGGCCAGTGAACTGCCTTCTGACACGCGCGTTTCTGCCCCCTTCCTCTCCCGCCCCGAGAGAAGCGCAGACACCTGAGTCGCAGAGAGAGCCGGGCCAGGTCAGTCCTAACCCGCTGGCAGCGGCCCTGGACACGGTGCCCACCCTCTCGGCATCACGGAGTCCTGCCTCTCCAGTTTCCAGTGACAACACCAGAATGCTACGCCAACCAAAACAGAGAAATGAAGTAATATTTAACTTCGAAAGCAGTACAGACAGGGAAAATGATTCACTCGTTCATCAAACATTGACTGAGCTCTTGTAGGTGTCTGCCATTCTTATCCTGATCTCCCTTTCGCCTCTTCCAATAACAGAAACTCTTCCTTTCAAGAAGGAGCCCACACCTGCCAGCTGGGCTCAGTCACGCAGCTCGGGCCCGGCCTGGGAGAAAGGCTGACCCAGGGAGAGAACATGAGCCCGGAAGGACCCTCGCACAGCTCACACACCACACAGCCGTGGGCCAACCTGCTCCTGAGAAACCTCTGTAATTCCCCAACTTCGCAGTCCGTGTGCCCACAATGTTGACAAAGAAAATTTTTACTTACATCCTAAAGTATTCCAACTTTCACAAAAAGATGTGCACACACAAGTTGCATTCTACATGCGACTCCAGGTAGGAGCGTGTAGACACCTTGAGAAGCGCCCCAAACTCCGGTGCAGTGGGAACAGCGGTCCACGCACCGCGGACCACACTTTCGCGCTCGCGCACTCACCGCAGCACCTGAGCTTCTCCGGCACAGGGCTCCCGGGAAGGCCCGCCCGGACCTCTGGGAGTCTCTCAACAAAGGCACGGGAACCAGACAGGCCCAAGGCAACTGGAGGCCAAGGACACCACCATCACCCAACTCATTCAACAAATACGACACAGCAGACACTTTTCCCATAAAGGGCCTAGTACTAAATACTTGAGACTACGGGGCCCAAGTCTCTGCCACTTGGTCTGTCAGGGTAGCATGAAAGCAGCCAGAGACAATAAATACATAACTAATGAGTATGGCTGTGTAGCGATAAAAATCCTGTATAATAAAGGGGTAATATGCAAATTGGCCATCACTCCAGCACACAAGATGGCCGGCAGGGGAGGGCAGTTGTGGGCGATCACGCCTGCAGGGGAGGACAGTTGGGTGGACCAGGCCTGCAGGGGAGGGCAGTTCGGAGAGACCAGGCCAGCAGGGGAGGGCAGTTGGGGGGACCAGGCCTGGAGGGGAGGGCAGTTGTGGGCGATCAGGCCTGCAGGGGAGGGCAGTTAGGGGTGACCAGGCTGGCAGGGGAGGGCAGTTAGGGGCTTCGGGCCGGCAGGGGGGCACTTAGGC